TACTTGCGCTATCGAGGGCAGCAACCCACACCTGGCCTCTCGCGGAACATGCCTTCATCGCTAGACTAACCGGAATGCAATACAAGAAATAAGAAGCTCAAAATATTTAAAACAAGCCTCAAGTATTTCCAGTTCCTCCCAGTTCCCACTACTTGAACTTCAGGTGCTACTCGTGTTCAGGAAATGAGAATTCCGTTTTTCCCAACTGATTTTTGCATACGAATCACCCCTTACTGGTATGATAATAAGAGCATGAGAATAGTCGACTACATCACCGTATTATCGACTGACCTCCTCCTCATCAATCGCATCGCCTTTCCTCTTGACAGCCGCCTTTCCTAGAGCACTCTCTAGACGATTAAGCGCTTCAGGGTCGACTCCCTTAAAATAAAATTGTCTATACAGAAGAAGAAGCCTTCCAATTCTGACACACCTCTTCATCTTCTAGGCTTTCAGATTCTGACTCACCAGCTGCTTCACCGTCGTCCATATCTGAACATAGACACCATAAAATCGAACAAGCAGCTGGACTTCAAAAAAAAACCCGCAAGTCTTCCCAACACGTAGAGAAAAGCAGTTACTACGGACGTCACGTTCACCCGCGGTACATCGAATAGAACCTCCTGATATCCCCTCCTCCTACTCTTCAGAACAACAAAACAATAGCTAGCGTAGCAGCCACCTTCATCTTCATCATTCGTTGATTCTCCCTCGCTACCCTGTTCGTCGGCCAATTCCTCGTCATCCATCATCATGGTCTGAACTGGTGTTTTCAAAGGAGTAGTGAGCGATTTAGGCTTAAAAAAGAATTGGTGAACAGTGAAAATTTTTCGTACCTCAATTATGTGAGAAACATGTTCCTTCTTGAAATGAGGCAATAGCTGGACAAACACATAGTAGACCACAGTACGGTGATACTTCAACGGTTGGCTGAGGTGGGCCAGTAATTGGTCGAGAAGAACCTAAAATATGGCGATTGAACAAAAAACTTTGAGGAGATTCTTGTTCGAATAAAGTTATCACTTGAGCCTTCAATTCAGGCTAAACCATTGCGTGGGTCAAAATTCAAGACCAGCATGACCCCTCCAAAAGGTCTCGCCGGGGTTCTTAAGTTAGCCTATCACAGCCATCCTTCAAACACCTAGAAGCCTACCTACCACTCATTGAAAAGCCGTAAAACTGTAGATTCCATAAAATCTGTTTCCACCACCGAACAACTCCCTCCCATCTCTGCCAAACACCACACCCATCCCACCAGGTAAAACCTTTCCGAGAATCACAAATACGACTCTGTTGGGTTGGGCCCGACAAACGGTTGATCATAGCTCACCTCTTTCTTACACAGCTTTCGAACTGCTGGTTTTTCGAATGAAGTAAATAGACGAGTAATTCATATCTCATCGTCAGATTAATCTAGAATGCGCCCTGCATCCGCATACTGGTTGCATGACCGCACCCTGCGCCTCAGTCAGATCCAGCAATGTTCACACCCAATTACTTACAATTACTCACTGGCAGATATGCCCTACATGCGCTACATTCCTTCAATATGTTCTACACCAGAAAAATATATTCAGTCCTACAACGGCTTGTTTCGAAAGCCTTCTAAATAGTTCCACGGTAATTCATAAATAAACGATGTCAACTTTGGGTTCTTCTTCTTATTCTTCAGCGTTTGTCCCGCTTGTTGGCGGGGTCCGCTTTTCTGATGTGCTGTCG